GGTAAATTTCGATCAATCAACCCTTTTTTGGCATGTGGGACTTCCACTTCAATTCGAAGTCGTAGACGCTTGCTGAATGCCATGTGGCTTATACAATGACTTGCGCGGGCCAGGCGATGTACAGGTCAGCGTATTCATCCTTTCAGATGAATCTGGTACCAATTTACGGTTACCGGGAAGTAGAAGACTAGGTTGGGCTGGGAGGAGGCCGATCCGGGATTTGAATGGGACTTTGAGTGCGGTATGCGTGCCACTTGCCGCTACATCACCTCTGCCTCTTCAAAGAAGACTAGGGCATAGAAAAAGGCGGAGAAAGTGGCTTCTCTAATACACTGTTGTTCCCTTTCGATTCATTTCATTCAAAGCTAAACCTATTTAGAGGCAAGTAACTCGGCCTATCACCCCTAGAATGAGCCCTCTGCGCCAAGCGAATCTTCTTCGAGGATCAATTAAATGGTACCAGACTCTTTCGAGGGACGAAAACATTCTGCGAATGCCTGGCGCATCCCATCAAGGAGCAGGTGTAAAACAGGCTTCATATACCTAAAAAGCGCTTAGATAGGCTGGGAGGTAAGGTCACTCGCCCGCACCTCTGTGTCCTTCCCGTCAACCAAGACTCAGGCTCAAGACAACTAAAGTCGCGAAAAGATGGTCTCCCAAAGGAGACAGTCTCTTCACTGAACTAATGCCCTCCCCCCGAGAAGACAGTCCAGTCTTCAGTAAGCCAAAGCCTTCCTTTGAAAGAGCGAAGTAGAGCCACCCCCTCCCCTTTCCACCTAACACAACTGTATTAACGCCGAAAAGCTATCATTCATAGCGGTTCCGGAAGTGAATTCTTTTGCTAAAAGTTATGAAAACATATAGGGAAACATACCAAGAAAAAAGATCCTGGAATGGCGAACGTTTGTTTGTACAGATAGGCATAGCCGAAAAGTGAAAGAGTATACAGTAGATGAGCGTTCCTGAAAAAAAGAATTGCGGATAGAAAGCTATTAACCCCAGAAGGTGTCACTCTCTGAAACACGTTATTTGTCTGCGTCCTCTCACGCTCTTAGCCGCGATAGGCAGCTTGTCGTCTGCTGTTTGATGGGCGGAACGCACAGAGGTTTCGATCGCGTCTCCAGAGCGGTTGAACAAACTTCATGTCTGTTCGTGTGCTGGCATCTCAACACAACCGAGACCAAGGTTACCTATTCCAACATGGTACGCGCTCCATACTGCCCTCCTTCCTACACCTACATATATGAACTGCTTTTTTCAGTTCAAGACGTCAGACATGACGTAAGGCATCGCTAAGGAGCATGGTGGGGAGTCCAGCGCTTGGGCACTCCAACTGACATTATATCACCCGAAAAAAAAGGGCTTGCAAAACTGAGCATGATCTACATCACTATTTCACTGGTACAATCCTAAAACGTAGAAAATTTTGGCGTGGATCAGCTTGGGGGAGGGGGCACTTGTGGCATTATCAGCTACTTCCGATCGACGTGACCAGCCATCAAATAGAGATCTGTGAAAAGCTGTGGAAGCCTTGAAGTGATATCACTCGAAGTTCGACGAAACCACTAGTCTAGACTTGAGTGCCTGCCAATCCTTACAAAACGATGAACAGGACAACGGAAGCAGTGTAAAAAGGCCCAGCCAAACTCGGCCGAAATTCCGTCCAAACTGTGCTAAAGGTCTCATTGGCGCCACGAAATTGGCATCCGTTTTCAATGCTGACGCCATTCGATGTCGTGTGCACTTTCACCAATTTGCCACTAACTCATTTATTACCTACTTTAAGGGTTATTCAATACCCTGGCAGTGAAGACACGCACATGGCCATTCATATGCCCAAGGACATGATGTGTGGGCCCCAAAAGAGGTGTTGGGTTGATATAACAGGCAATAGCCGAGTGGCGCCGCACCAGCAATTCATGCCACACAGATGTTCCGGGCCCCTATGGTTGGTTAGATACTAGTTCACAATGAATTTGTAAGAAAAGGCTATGGGCCAAAGCCTTCGAAAAAAGCTAGGGGGGGGGGTGGAGGGGGAAGGTCAGTGTAGCGTAATAACATGTGTGCGCCATCCAAACCAGGTTCTAATTCATTTAATTACAAAGTGTCGCAGTAAGCCGCCCTAGGAGTGCTTTGCTAGTTTCTGCGTGCCACCGCAACATAATATTCCAACAGTGCACCTCAAACCAGGGCCAAATGATCGTCATATTCGCAGCACCCCACCAAATACCCTGGACGAATGTTCAGGAAATTTTCTGCTGACCTTCCAGGAGAACCGTAAAAGTCGGTGAAATAATGCCGAAATTAGTTCAGGGGAAATACTATAGGGTATATTCCAAAAATAATCTTGAGAGATCGATTGACGCCGGTTAGATTGTCCAGTTCACCTCTTCAGTTCTGCGATCAAAAATGGGACGCAGTTGACTTACGAAGAGAGCACTTGAAGAACTCTTCGGGCAAAATTCAAATTACCGCAACGCGGATTTTGCATAAACAAGTTGTTTTGAAATTTCTGAATAAGTTGTTTGACTCATCTTAGAGTTCATTCTCACACAGGGAGAAAACTACGGCAACTTCAGGTTGGCACAGGAGTTTTGGCGCAGTTCGGCTTGGGGGGGTGGTTGGGGGTGGTTACACAGTCGCTGCCTCCAATCGTCGTGTAGAGCTATCAAGTATAGACTTGTGAAATTTTGTGAAGCCATGAAGTGATACCACTTGAAGTTTATCCACTTGTCAACACCTGTCAAAACCTGTCCACTCTTGAAACCAAAAAAAAAACAAGCGGAACTGCGCCGTCCTTTCCATGCCCCCTTCCCCTGGCCGGATAGCGCCAAAAAAGTACCCAAATCATTTCCACTGCTAGCACACATTGAAGCGAACCTCACTTAATTATGTGGCCAAATTTCCGAGTGCATCGAGCAAAATCGATACTGGAGGGACTTTGCTTTTTGTGAAGCAATTGCTCGAAGAGATAGCTGGCAATGTGACGAGTCTCATTTCCACCCGTTTCATTGAAAACATCAACGAATGAGCTATCTATTCCGCAGCAATCTTTTCGTATAGGAATCATAAGCCTTTCGATAATCGAAATCAATAAAAAAAACAAAGATAGGAGAAGAACTGTCGTCATACTCACTTGTAGTGCTCAAGCAAATCGGCCAGCTCTCGGAGGGCATCAAGATCTTTCGGGAACGCCAAGGCCGTAGGTGAATCTGAAGGAGGTGCGATGCTCCAGATGAAGTACAGAAGCACTGTTGCCATCGCGAATGCCGCCACCAAACCGATAAGGCGTAACATCGATGCGGGAGCCTCCTCTTCTTGCCCCTGAAATTTGTGGGTAGAAATTTCCAGAAGATCGGTAAACGCCTAGTCAAATTGCACGTTTCGAGCACGAAAAAAGCAGACGACATACCATGACGATCACCTCCGTAAGCTCAGGTTCTGGGCTTTTAGCTGTACGTTCGGTTGATGAGTCTCCCAGGATTTGTTGGGACGTGGGGCAATGCCCCACCGACTTGTGAGAGGGCAAAATGAGAATGGTGAGTGAAGGCGAATGTTTTGCACGCTGGCTTCGCATGCATGCATGATAAACCGTGTAACGCGAACATGCTCGTCAATCATGGGCTATCACATCCTCCCAAAGCTCGTTTCAGCCCGTTTACGTCACCAACAATCAGGTCGGGAGAGACGGGGCTTTGGGTGGGTGACGTGAACCCGCAAATGTCGGGTTAAAACTCATTTCGCCCTAAAATTCAACCAGATTCTTCAGTAGGGAGGGGCGTCTTTGGAATATCTTCCTCATTGAGCCAATTTCCCCCTCAAGACTACCCAAAAAATCAATACATTCCCCCTGGCACAAACATACCACCTAATTCGAATCAATAAACAGTCATCAAAAACGGGGCGCCTGGTCATGAGGGCTAGATAAAAAACCACATGATGCACGAACCTGATGCTGCCACGCCCAAGACAAATTTAGCCCTATTAACTCATCACCCATTAATTCATCGGGAAAAAATCTAGGTGAAAAATAGCCCTTTTTCAAGCCAAAAAAATTACACAAAGAACATAATCTATGTTCATTCTACTATGAATAAGTCCAACAAAATCTTCACAGATTTGATCTCTAATAAGTAGAACAATCAACTAAATTTGTAAATAAATCAAAACAAAACACAACTACGACAAACAATGAGCTCCAACATGGAATAAACAGTCGCACAGAAGAAGAATTTCAACAAAATAAGCCATTTTTTATCAATCATCAACACCGAACAATAAAACGAGTTCGACGGTGGGCGTACGCTACACAGTGGCAACACCACTGTCGCGACCCTCCGCCTACTCGCTCAGCGCTCCATCGTCCTCATCACTCGACGATTCCGTGCCATCTTTTCGCAGAAAATGCGCGTACACCAGCGTCTCAGTCTGGAAAAAAGGTGCGCTATGTAAAACCCTATTAGTTCGTACCAGAAAATTCGTATAAAACTGAGCAGAGATAATTTTCAAACCTCATCCACTCACTCCGGTTACATCTTTATAAAAAAGGGTAATCTTCTGATTCCACGATCCATAACCCCTTGCTATGCGTGCGATGGTCACCAGAGGTGAATAGCATTTTTGTCCTATTAATCTTTTTTGCCCTCCCCCCCCCGAGAATTTGTCCGTAGTGGTACTTTGAACACGAGTATCCCACTCACTTAGCCCGAAACCGATTGGCGCCTGCGCCACAGGCGCCGTCTTCTTGTATTTGTTTCGACTCCAACGCGGATTCTAAGGCGGTTTCTAGCTAAGTGGTGTGCATAGGTAGTGAGGGGGGGGGGGAAGGAAAAATTGGGGACAAGATGAAAAAGAACTACGAGAAAAAGACAAATGTTCCGTCAAATTTGCCTTTTGAGGAAACAGCAGGTAAAAAACTAGCCTGCTGCCGGAAGACCGGGGCAATGAAGGGCAAATAAAGCAGCATATTCGCTGAACAATCAAAATGGACACAGCCCCAAGTGTACTAGATAGGATGACCTGTTCAGTCTACTCTTCTACTCTATTTGTACTGTCCAGTTCTACGGGTGAGGAACGATAACGCGTGTTTACTCGGTCAACCGTGTGATATTGGTTTTGCCTAACAATAGTAGCGTGGCGCATTCCATCTCGAATGGAGGGGGAAGGCATTTTACACGTTCGCTAATTTCCATCGTCGTATTCATCGCTTTACAAAAGTTGACTACAATGAGAAGTAGCGAAGGTGCAGTATGCCCACCCCTAAGCCGAACTGCGCCCAGTAACGAAACTGTCCCTGAACCTCACAGGAGAACGTAAACCAGTGGTGGTACGCCTCAAAGGGTATGACACGCAAGATTTTCTTCATGCGTGACCTCGAATATCTCATTACCGTGCGACCCCTGCAGAGGTCAGTCAACATGTAAATGTGGTGGCAAGGGAGAGGAACTGAATAGACCACTAGACACCGACAGAGACGGACAAACGGTTTAGTTTTGAATGTAGCCCGATATGTTAACCCACTGCAAACATCGAAGTCGCCCTTTCCCTCTGAGGACTGACCAGCTGATAACTTCATAGCAAGATTTTTAGATTACGTGAACCGTAGAAGGCTTACGGCTCCACAAAAAATTATTGATAGTAACTGTATTGTAATTATACCGATTAAGTGGCCCCACGTAAGAATTTAAGACGCAAAAGACCTATTTTCCGTGGCGGCTGCCCACCTAGGGAAAGTCTTGTGCCCTGGAATGGCCGTGATGGACGCCTATACGATCTCTTCACTGCTTCATCCCATGGACACGCTCAGTGATCTTGCTAACTTACCAGAAACTCAAGCGGTTCTGAACACGCACACGCGGAGTGAATTCGTGTTCAGTTGTGAACTTCGAGCACCCCCCTCCCTGCCCCTCCTTCTCCATGTGAATTTTCCCATGCCAGTACGAAAGCTATAGCGAGGATCCGCGGCTGAACTTTTAATACAAACATCATGCTTGTTTACTTCAAGTTCGAAAGCAATCAGATATATCGATCCTATCACGCACTCGAATCACTGCACACCAGCTGTTTTGAAAAAAAAAACATAAACTGAGTGTAATTCGATATCTCTCATACATACCTCCA